CCAAAGGTTCCAGGGGAGTACACCACAACCATGTCAGGGTCAGGATGCGTGTACCTCCAGGTGAGACCCTGGGATTTAGGATATGCTGCAAATGGGAGAGAAAGTCTCAAGAGCTATATTTGAATTTCAGAACAAGAAAAAGAAATGTGTGTTAAGGGAAGGCATAAATCATCTGGAACAGATTATGAGACAATTTGAGTGCAAAAAATGAAGGATTTTTTTCATTTGTTTTAGACATCCCTGAGATATAACATCCTACCTAAGAAAAAAGAGAAAGAACCCTTCGCTCTGCAGGTTAATACTCTCCCCACGAATTGTGATGGAGTGGATGCTCGCAGAAAGTTCCAGATTCACATCAACATTAGGTAACTCCTAGATCATGACCAGACCTCTTGCACCAACCTAACAGAATATGGAGAAATTGATTTTCTTTTGTGGGGAAACTCCACTATGCAAAGCCACACATAATGAATATGGAATTCTTGCAGTGTTTATTAACAAGAAAATTTTCTGGAAAAGCCTTCACATTAAGAATATGATATTACAATATCTGACAAGTGTGAGCTTAAAGTGATGGTTTTTCCAAACAACCATAACAGAAACAGATACAGCAGATGTAGTAACTTTTAGTGTTAGAAATAAAAGGCAAAGGGAGAGTTTGTCTTGAATGAATCCCAAAAACTTTTGTTTGAATCCCTCATTCCTATGCTTTGATTTTATAGTTATACTGGGGACCGACCCAGCTCCAACATGGTCATTGTTGATGTGAAGATGGTGTCAGGCTTCATTCCTATAAAACAATCAGTTAAACGGGTAATCCCTGGATCCCTTGCAAAGAGTAAAGTCATGATAAATGCTGGCATTTATCGTTGTCAATTTGACTTTATTGATGGACTTTTCAAGAGGTGTTTTCCCTCAAAATTGCTTCTCTAGTAGGCATCTCTATCATTTTAATAGGGTGTCTTGGTTACATGGTGTCAAGTATAGGGCATAAGTCAGAAACACGATAAATAATGTTCCAACAGGCCCAAGACACCTAGTTATGTGGAATGGTATTGAATTATTTTCCAGATATATATAAGAAGAGGAAAGGATACATGTGTGTATTCATGCATGTATATATCACATATGTATCTGCATATATACTTATAGCAAATATAGAAAATTAAAGATCAATAAGTATTACTATTTTTATTATCATTATTATTCTTGAAGAAATCAAAATTGTACATCTGGATGCTCCGAGAAGCTGTGTAGATCGTAAATACCTGAAAACTGCTGCCAGTATGAAATTTTCTCATTCCATATTTCTGACTTATCGTCTTGATCAACAGCTCCAGACACAGCCCCAGATCCAGAGGTCTGAAGTGAGCACCAACCACGTCCTCATCTACGTTGAAAAGGTAAGACGTTCTGTGACTCTGCTAGATCTGGAATAACAACTAGAGGTTCTAACAAACCATAACAGATCCAAATAGTGACATTCACATACACAGGTGAGAGGGGACAAAGTGGCTGTAAAAAGAAATGAAGCTTGGACTGTCAGCAGGCTTGATTTATTACATTTGGCCGTCCACAAAATTGTCTCTTTTGTCCTTTTTTAAATCTATCATTGAATATGTTATGCAGGTCACAGAATTCTGCTTTCTTTTCATAGGTTTTGGTGCATAACTATAGGGTTTGATAATTTCTTATGAAGAGAGGACAGTAATTAGATACTAAGTTAATCTTTGATTCCAATTGTTTTCCTGTCTCTCCAGCTAACCAATCAAAACCGGCATTTTTCCTTCTTGATTGAACAAGATATCCAAGTAAAGAATTTAAAACCAGCTGTAGTAAAAGCCTATGATTATTATGAGACAGGTGAGTGAGATTCAGACATGCTGAGCTTTGAAATAAAAAAAAAAAAAAACTACTAATCTAGTAAAGGATTACCTTAACTAACGCAAAACTTCACAATCTTTCACTGA